AGATCCTCAAAAAGCGAAATCACAAACCGGGTACGTATTTACTTATGGTAACACTGCAATCTCATGGAGATCTATGAAGCAGACATTGACAGCTACATCGTCAAATCATTCTGAGTTAATTGCACTATATGAAACCGGAAGAGAATGTGTGTGGCTACGATCTATGATTCAACACATCCAAAATGAATGCGGTATGAAGTCTATTACTTGTCATCCTACTGTGATCTACGAAGACAACACTGCGTGCATAGCTCAGATTAAAGAAGGCTACATCAAAGGAGATAGAACAAAACACATATCACCAAAGTTCTTCTCTACTCCTGATCTCGAGAAAGAAGGGACGATCAACATTCAACAAATCAGATCCAGTGAAAATCCAGCCGATCTCTTCACCAAATCTTTACCCCCGAAGAAGTTCATGGAACTTGTACAGAAAATCGGCATGCGACGTCTTCATAATTTATATTAAATTCAAGGGGGTATTTGAATGCACTGCACTCTTTTTCCCTTCATCAGGTTTTTATCCCACTGGGTTTTTCCTGATAAGGTTTTTAACGAGACAGTACATCCAAATACAACGACAATATAAGTCGTAATTTTTACCCCTTAATTTTCACAATAAGTTTTTAAAATAATAGACAACTATTCAAGGATGAACATTCAAGGGGGAGTGTTGTAAAATCCTGGAAATGACAAGTGTGAATTGTTCATCCTTGTCATCAATCTAGAAATTATGTTTAATCCTTGTAACCTAGTTAGAGCAGATGGCTCAAATTGTTATTGCCACCAAATCTGTAGATTCATCCCTTAAGTGACTAATCATCAAGTTCAAACAGTATAAATAGGAGCTTGATGAGGCATTGTAAATTCATTCAGAAATTCAGAACTTCTCAGATATTAAGAAGAAGATATTTAGAGCTTTTATTAATATATATCTCTCTCTCAAATTTAGTCTTCATCTTCTTCATTTTCACAACAGCATCCTCATTATACACAGATATGACCATATATAACACATACTTCGTACATAGTATATTACACAATTACCATGTAATTATTAAATCAGAATTATTAGAATGCATTTTTGAACGCTTTTACACTAAAAATCATGTTGAGAGTGCATTTAGCACACAATGACTATAAAATTAAGAAAGAATTACTACGACCAATTCAATTACCAAAACAATACTCTGTATAATATACTCTCTAAGTCTGTATCACTGAAGATGCACAAAACTAACAATTTTTGCATTTTCGTCCTCTCTTTTTATTTAGTCAAATTTGACTTTTAAGTCAATGATGTTAATCTTTGATCGAATCTATATTTTATACTCCTCACTAATGATATGAAATATTCTATACTTTGAAAATGATATGAAAATGGTCTTTGTTAAAAAATACTACTCGCTTCGTCCCCGCTAAGATTGGTTCATCTTCCTTTTCGATCTGTCCCACTTAGATTGTCTCATGACAAATTTGGTAAAGTTTGTGACATTATAAAACATTCTTACCTTATTCTTACTTTATCAATTCAATATTAACAACATAAATTCACATTTCATAATAATCGCACAACCTCCTCATATCGATCTCAATGTTACTTGAAAGGAGTTAGTATTATAAAAGTATAAATTTATTTAAGTTTTACATAAATATATTAATTAGTTAAAATCATGAAAAGTCAGATGACTAAATATAACACGATGACAAGAGTAAAGCTACTACATAATTACCTCATCATTTTATATATATTGCCAAACAATTAGTGAATTGAAATTGTAGAGACCAAGTTTTCGAATACTTTTAAAACAGAATGATGAGATGCAATCACATCAATATTAACACACAATTATCAAGTAATTGTAAAATTATACTCGCCATTCAAAAAATTATGATCAATTTAACTTCATGGAAATATATAATTGTGATTAAGTAACAAAAATGAAATATGATGAATGTTAATCACATAAATCATTATATTCCATAAACGGGAGTTAAAATATTTTTTTAGGATATCTCAATAGGGTAAATGGGGAGATTTTCTTGGGATGGAGATAGAAATTATCAGAACACAAATTTTTACACATACAAAATTAAAATGGATGAAACATATATAATTACCACATAATTATTATACAGTTACTACACAATTATTAAATCACAGTCTGTCATTATAATCATCAAAGAGAAAGGTGGAATTTGATGGTAAAAGATCAAGAGAAAAGAGATTTTACACAATTTTCATAAAAAAGCATTGCATGCTCTATATTTATTTATATTTTGACTTTGCACCCCACTTTTTGGGATACATTAACCTTTGCCCTCCATTTTCAAAAATTTTTAACTTTGCACCCCGTCATACAATTTTTTGTGAAGAAAAGTTTCACCGGAGGCGTAGCTAGCTCACATGGTAGGAAGAAGGTGTCATAAGTAAGAGGTCCCGGGTTCAACTCCAAGTAATGATTTGAGATGAAACTCAAATTTCTTTTCATCGGAGTGAGATCAAAGCTCAATTTACATCATCCTACAAAACATATGGGTGTCATCCCCATTTTTTATGAATTTTTTTTCTATTGATCCAAAGTCACCCAAAAAAGGAGCGCAGAGTCAAAATTCTCCTTATTTCTACTAACTTTAAAAAAAATTCTATCGTAACACATCTCCTTGGAGTCTTTGGTGGCTGGTCATCTAGCATAGTGTCCTGCAAGTATTTTAGATTAAAAGTTTTCGGTATACACACTCAGGTTATTGAGAGGATCTGAATATAAGATTGAAGATGTTTTTGTGTTGGCAGCCCCCACCATTACCACCTTTTGCAAACTGTGGGATGTGTACGCTCGCATAAAGAAAGATTCTAGTGGTCTAGTGAACGAAGGGGCTAGCTTACATGTGTTTTTTTCACTATATATGTAAAAAGAAACACAGAAATGAAGAAAGAAGTAGAGTACTTTATTCACAAAAAGAACAATATAATCACAAAGTACTCTAATTTTTATTATATATGAAAAGCTACAGCCTACAGCTCTTATATTAGGCAATTCCCTTAATTTCAATCATCTAAACTCTTCAATAAGACCAATTAGAACATTATAAATTCGTAATATAAACTTAAGTAAATAATACATTAATGACATAATTTACTAAAAAAATATATTAATTAACGACATAAACTAATCATAAAGGTAGCGCGTACATTGCAAACATGTACCATTTAGATAGCGGGGCGGGGACGGTCCAATATTTTGTCAAACGTCAAGTCGTATATCTTTAATTATTGGGAAAACTGTCAAATAGGTTCTCGCACTTTCATAAAAAAGTCAATTAAGTCCTTCTATAGGAGACTTTGTCCGGTCATCGCGATTTGGGGCGGTTCCCGATTAATGTTTTAGCTGAAATTTGGTATGAGTAAACTAGATTTGATGAATAAGATGCTAAAAAAATTTCATCAAAAAATTCTACCGGGAACTACCCCAAATCGCGACGACCGGACAGAGTCTCCTATAGAAGGACTTAATTAAATTTTTTATGAAAGTTCGAGGACCTATTTGACAGTTTTCCCTTAATTATTTAAATGGTTCAGTATGGATTAGTTTTAGAAATGTTTGCAGATTGAACACTCAATCACAGTCAAGAAAACTGATCAAATAATTCATGCAAAACTAAAAATAGCACAAATAAAAATGACACAGGATTTGTTGACATAGTTCGGAAGAAAACTTCCTACGTCTGCGGGGTTTCAACAGGGGAAACCCGATCCCAATATTCCACTAGCTCAGATAATTCAGTCTACAATCAAGATGGTTGCAAAGCAATCAAGATACAGTATAAGCAATTGGTCAGAAGTATCACACAAGAAACAAATAAAAGAAAAAGTTCAGAGTTAACCGAGTGAAACCCTAACGTTTCAGAAGATAGCTGCTAAGCTCCCAATTTCCAGAACTCTCATCAAGCTTTTCTTTAATTCCTCAGATTTCCAGGCATCCTCCTCTTTCTTTCAGCGTTCTTGTTAAGATCAGGCTCTCGCGCAGAAAACTAGCAGCGGAACAACACTTTCTCACTCTAGAACTCAAGGTTCTCAGCATGTCTCTCTATCTAGGGTTTCAACGAATAGCTCAAAACTTGAAGGCTCTCGAGAAAGAAGCCACTTATATACTTAGGGTCTTCCAAGTATAAAGTGTACCGGTGCTCCAATTACACAATGCCCAGTCCAGAAATAACCCGAGACCAAGAAAGGAAGGAGAACACAAAAGCTACTAAGTGGACTATAACAAAATCTAAGCCCAACTCAATAACATAATACTAATCTGATTGCTTTGCCATCCTATCTAAAATTGTAAATTAGGAAATAATTAGAGAATTAGGATTACTAATCTCAAAAAGAAATAAAAGCACCGGGTACAATTTTATTTCTAAACGTTACAATATCATGTCATACCAATGTCATTATTTAAACCATGTCACTTTTTTCAATTTCCAGAAAAGAAAAAAGAGTTCAACTTCAACCAAGTTAAAAATCCCTATGCCTACATATAAACCCAAGTTTAGCCCTAATCCAAAATATCTATGTTGAATGCCTACTTTTCAAAGTAGAAATTCACAAACATAAGTTAAAGAATTGCAAATCATTTGGCTTTACAATCATTATCATTATATAGTATAACAACAAATCATTTTGATTCAAATTGAGAAGAATTGTAAGGAATAGATACATTTTGAAAATTCCTTACTTAAAATTAAAGTAAATAAAAAAGATAAAGACAGTATTCAAAGGATCCTAATTGGGTTATTGATAAAATAAAATAATAATTGCATGAAAAAAACGAACACACACATTAGGTAAGGTATACCTACCACTTACTCATCTGCTATTAATTAGCTATTAATTACTGAGGTACCATGAAATTTAACATAAGTTAAATGATGAATTATGTAGGTGTAACACTGTAACATTCAAATATATTGACCCATACTAGCTAGCACAAATTGGCATCAAGTTGCTAGTTTTAATAGCTAGTTGCTGGTTTTGAAAGAGTTGCCAACTAGCTAATACTAGTACAAATTGGCATCTCTATTATACAAGTATATATATTGGGTCCATATAGTTGATCAATCACATGCATTGCTTATTAGGGTTTTCTCTACTAACTCTCTGCCTTCACTGACTCACTGTTCTATATAAACTACACTCTCCAGAATCTGCCATCCCCATCATCACCATCCCTGAATTTTTAGCTTCTTGAATTCACCATGGAGACCTCAAAGCTCATAGCTTTTCTCTTCTCCATGCTTTTCATTTCCTCAGCCACTCCCACTTTGGGCTGTGGGGGTTGTGACCAGCCCAGTCACGGACGTCCCAGTCACGGTCACAAACCAAAACCCTACCCGCCGGCGGTCAAGCCGCCGGGGATTCTCCCTCCGGTCATCCTCCCGCCAATTCTCAACCCTCCGGTGACTGTCCCACCAGTTGTTAAGCCGCCAGTTTACCTGCCCCCGGTCACTCTCCCGCCCGTCGTTAAGCCGCCAGTCAACCTGCCCCCGGTCACCCTCCCGCCGGTGGTGAATCCTCCGATAACGAACCCGCCCTCATACGGGAGCGGGGGCAAGCCGTGTCCAACGCCGCCAGCGACGTGCCCGATCGACACCCTGAAGCTCGGCGCGTGCGTGGACATTCTGGGAGGTCTGATTCACATAGGGCTAGGCGACCCCGCCGTGAACGAGTGCTGCCCCGTCATTCAAGGGCTGGTGGAGCTTGAGGCGGCGGCGTGCCTGTGCACAACCCTAAAGATTAGGGCACTGAACCTTAATCTTTATGTCCCGCTTGCCCTCCAGCTGCTAATCACCTGCGGCAAGACTCCTCCTCCTGGTTACACTTGCTCGGTGTAAAACAGCTCAGCCCACGCCAACGCTTACTAGTTGAGTACGTGTTCTCATTTCCTTAATTTAACCCCCACCCCCCCTTGTCTTTTCTTCAAAATATCCGTAGTAATTATGCTAGTATTTTCCCCACGCCAGCACTTGTATACTACGTATTAGCTTCCCTCAATTATTTTCCTCGGAGTTTTACTATGCTATCTGATCTCGTGACATGTTTCATCCTTTATATATTCTAGTATGGAGTACATCGGAAATTAAAGGATTTCTATGCTTTATTATACATTGAATATATTGGGAGTGTACAAAATTCATTCGTTTTCTTTTCTATAAGCATAATCAAGAACCAGTTTTTCACGAATTGGTGTTCCTAGCTCTTAAGAAACTGCTTCTAAAAAATTGTCAAAACACTCCAAAATACTTCTTGAGTTTCACCCAAACGCTCCGATTGACTCCATAATTGTGAAGTGTATATGATAGTCTTACATTGAGTATATTAAATTATCATTGTTCAATACATAGTAATAATGAGGTTTGGTCCTACACAAAGTGCTTCCTATGACTAAAACAATGACATAATACTCAAAAGAACAGTGTATTTTTACTCGTTATACTCTTACTTAGGAGATAGGAGTATACGAAGTACTACGGAGTATATTATAATTTTTCTCTTTATCTTATTCAAATATGGATTTATTTAAGGTAATGATTGGAAGAAAACTGAGACACAAAAGACAGATTAAAATGCGATATCTTTTAGAAGAAAAGCAATAATCATGAATTATTTAACACAGGGAGTATTGATTGAGAGCAAGTGACTTTAGTTTTAGGAACAACGCACATTGATTCCTATTTGATGTACTTAGCTAGTTTTGCTCTATTCGAAGTACATAAAGCAAAAACGTACGCTAAATGTATATGCATATTGTTAAAAATTAATCCAAATTTTTATCAATATTTTGCTTTTGGACATGTTTTTAATAAGCTTTATTTTCGGAAAGCATACAATTGTATCATAATAAGACGACAAATAATTTAGATGCCTACTTGAAGTGGTACTCTCGTTTAACTTATTGGCATCCCACATTTTCCCAAAAATGATAGTAGACAAATTTGTAAAGAGTAAATCTCAGAGTAAAAAAGTTTTGAAATTTTAAAATAGGACTATCATGTTTTTTTATTACCTAAATAGGAGTAAATTTCTGTCACTGGGCAGATTACTCTTACTCAAGAAATAAAAAACATGATACTTCTTTGTTTGAATTTCAAAGCGTTTTTACTACTATTTAGGGCAATTTCTAATTTATGAATACTACTATTTATGGCAATTTCTAATTTATGAATAGTCGTAAATGACTCGGCCCTTTTAGAGACCTGGCATGATATGAAAGACAACAATTATTAAATCGTTTACATAGACTAATTAAAAAGTATACAAGTTTGCGTGTGTACCTTAAAATATTCTTTTCAATAATTTGCTCTTCTAAAACAAAAATATTAAGTCTTAATATGAATAAGAAATGTTTCAGTTCTATCGAGATATTCCTCAACATAGTGATTCTCTCTTAGTCTTAATATATTCTCAAATATTAAGTCAATATTAATACCGACATTATGAAGTCTGGTACTATTAAAATATGACACTTTTAAAACATGACAGTAATTAATCATATTTTATTAATAAATATATGATAATCCTATTTTGGAATTTTATCATAATTTAAAGAACAATAGGATTAATTTATTTATTTTCCATTATTCAAAGTTCTGTACCCTCGTGGGGCTTGGTGGCAAAATGTATGAATGATTAACCCATTATTGGTATGTTTTGGTGATTGCAGATTTGCAGGTTTTGGCTGTAGGTTTGGTGGATTGACATGAAAGGATGTCAGCAGTCAAGCATGCATGTGATTTGTATTTGTCACTTTTCTATGAATCCTCATCCCACCCATATTTCTTTCAATCTTTTTTCCAATCTTTCTACTATAGTGTGTGGTAGAGCTGTCCCCTGTGTTGATTCGAACTGTACGAGCACCTTTTCCTGTATTTGAATAGTGTTTTATTTCAAGTGTTTTGTTACAAGTTTTTTTATATTTCAATTGATAGATTGAATTTTCAAGTGGCGTTCCACAATTAGATTTTTTTCATTTTTTTCATTATTGTTTTGCACACCTTTGTGTATGCCATTTCCTTGAAATAAAATCCACCCATATATGTTGTGACAAAATGTTATGATAGGACGACGGCTAATATGAATCAATTTAAATTCATTAATCATGTCATTCATTATTTAATAGTGGTATGTGCACTTGAATATTCAAGAGTCATCTTAGGTTGAATAGTTAAAAGTTGTTTTTTCTTAGGTTGTCACTCTCTTTTTTGTACTTTACATCGACTCTTTTTCTTTTTCTCTTCCATTGTTAAGGTAAGAATAGTCAATGTAGTAAAAAATACAGTTAAGTAAGTCTTTTAATGGCTAGGGTGCAAGTTCAAGTGTAAACGAATAACATGGTTAATGAGTATGAGTGAACTAATATTAGTTCTCCAATTCACAACTCTACGTTATTACCACATATACCAAATGAATCCATCCAAGAGGAGAAAAAAAAAGTGTTCCATTCCTTCTCTATATGTATTCAAATTTAGAGCCCATAGTAAGATTAAATCCATCAAAATGCTTCTGTTTTTAGTAGTTTTTGCCAAGTTTTGTCCCTCAACTATTTTGTACTTCTAATTTTTACATTTTTAGTCCTCGACTATTTTGCTTGAGACACTTCTAATTCCCGACTTCAAGACTTCCCACATTTAATCTCCTGACTATTGTCAAATTGACACTTCTAGTCCTCCCATTATGATTTAGACACAATAAATGGAGTATTAAAAATGTCACTATTATAATAGTTGGACTAAAAATGTCAATTTTATGAAAGTCGAAGGACTAAATATGGAAATTTTCAAAGACGGGTATCAAGTGTCTCTAGCGCAATAGTCGAGTACTAAAAATGACAAAAATCAAAGTCGAGTACCAAAAATGTCAATGACATAATATTCGGAGGACTAAAAGTGACAATAACTCTATTTTTAGTAACTCTATACTACCCTTTCCCAATCTTCTTCTCCGCTACAATTTTTGCGGAATTTCCTTCCATTCGTCAATGAGTAGTCTTTGAACCGGAGGTTCTAAATGTAACGGGTAGAGCAGAGAATATATTTGAAATACAAAAAAGGTTGAAGGAATCAAAGTGAAAATGTGAAAGTTGAGATGTGAAAAATGCATTGCGACACAAGTGAAACACAATAGGTAAAAGTTGCTCAAACGGGGAACTTTCACTTAGATTTCTATCTCAACCCATATACTGATGAGAAATTCTAACGCAAAGAAGAATTAATCTTCACTAAAGATAATAAAATTCAAAAGAACCGAATATAGACAAGAACACTAATTAAGGATTTGAGAAGAAACCAAATTCTCATGATGTTGTATAATATGATGAAATCATTGATATACATTAATTCTTTTTTGATAAGGACATAAATCCCTTTTTTTTTTATCATTTCATACAGGCCACACATTAGTGTTTACATTGATGTTGTGTTAACGGAACACCTTAGTGTATCCGGTTTTGTCGTTTTAACTTTTTGTTTTTCTGTTTTGCATCCCAGAATAAAAGAATAAAGGCATGATGCCCCGATTCATCGGATCGTCATGAGGAGGAGAGTGGTCCAAATCATTATCGAACACTTCTCTCCTCCAACACAAAAATCAACGATTCTCTTCTATCTCTACACCTCAAATGGTCAGCTATACTCACAAATCAACCATCTTTTTCCGCTATGCCACCGACAAGGTCTCCTCAAACGCGTTCACTTCGAATAGTCAAAAAGACTACATTGTGGAGGAGACAAAGGTCAGATACTCGTGTACTGAAGATGATATCCATGTGCATCTGCAATTCTTCAAGAACATTCATTCTAGAGGCGTCACCGGACTTCATTCAAGCTGATCAAGAGCTACTTCTGAAGGCAAGGTTTACAAGCGAGCCAAAGGAAGATTCCTAAACCCCCGACATCAAAGATCAAATTGCCAAGAAGACATCAAAGGGGACTAGGGGAGATTGCAAGGATTTATTCAGAAAGTCTTCTTAAGAAGTCGAGTTCAACAGGGAGACAAAGGAAGCTAAGCTACACTGTAGAAGACAAGCAACTCAACAGGTTTTATCTACGCTCTCCTCTACATTGCTGAACAAGGACAAAGACAAAGATATATGCGCTGCAATGCTGATTGAACACGATTGAACACCAAGAGGGAGATGGTTGAGAATATTTTATGGTGTCCAATCTAATTAAATATATTTGTATTTGTGTAGTTATTAATTAAATGTGTAATAGGGGCCACACCTATATACCAGTCCATTAGCTTCATTGTAATCAATAAGTTAGCCAACTTCTCCTATAAAAGGAAGCTAACTTATGGAAACCCTAAGGATCGAAGGCTTCGAGAGAATAGAGGCAAGATAGAGAGATTAGGGTTTGCCGCTGCTCTCCTTCTCAAGGGAGAGCAGCGGCCAGTTCACGGTATACCGAATTCGTTGTTCATCTCATATCTTTCTATCTGCTTCTTATTTATCTGCTATGATTGTTTGTTTGTTAAAGAATCTAGGACTAACAGGTAATTTACCTTCGAAGAAGATGATGCCCGATTCGCATAGCGCAGGAAAGGAAAGTGTCGAAAGAACAAAGAGAATGCTGAAGAAGAGTGTAAACCCAACAGGCCACGCTAAGAAGGAAGAACAAATGGGCTTATGGAGAGCTTGGGCCAATACCAACAAGCTCATAATTAAAAAGAAACTATTGCAGTTGAAGAAGAGAAACTGATTATTATTCAAAACTCAAGTCTTGAGAAATATTATTTTGATTTTGAGAATTTTCTAAATAAAAAAATTTAAATCATATATAATTCCAATTAGGCAGTTAGCGAGCCATTCCACCCGGACTCAAACACAAAGATTACAAATAAAATAATGAATATAACATTGATTAGTCACATACTGATCCATCTATATTTAATTTTTTCACACCTCCGTGTCAATTTCATATATATAATATCTCACTACAATATGGCTCTAGAAAGGATTTTCTCAAGGAGCTGTCTAACAATGTTAGGAATCTTGTCAAATCTGAGCCAAAATATATGTAAAAGCGTTTTTGCCACAAAAAAATTAGCACATAGTCATGACAAAAAATGTGCCAACTCGTAATAAATGAGTGCCAAGCCCTTTGACTTCTTGTAATGCAATATCATAAAAGTTCGACGTGTAAAATCAGATTATTTATTTAAGTTGTGTTGAAGAACGAAAGAGTAAACATGAATTCTACTTCATTTTGTGACTTGTCAGTATTATATTTCAAACAAGCTAGCTAGTAGAAACGAAACTCGTGTCACGGCATGAAAGTTTAGACATGATCCTAGATTCCTAGTTTTGAACATAAATTATGACTATCTACCGTGTGAAAAGTAACTGGAATTCTAATTCAAAATCAGTTTTAATGTAAGGACACGTCAAATATACGATGCGATTCTAACCGAAGTTCTGATTTTCTTTATAAACATTGATTATTAAGCGTAGCTGGGAGACAACCTAGGTCCCGTCCCAATCCAAATTTCAATTTACTAAGGTAAAGAAATTCATGTTAACAATATTCAAAAAACTTTTTGGACTGGGCCAAGCCCAATAATAAAGTGCCCTGCTACGCTATTGCTAAGTAATCACATTAGCCCTGTATGATTGTTTGATACAAGTTTTTGATTATTTTGAAATGACAAATTTGATGTCTAAAATTGACTCATGATTGTTTTATTAGAATATTTGGGATATACGAGTACTTTATTATTTGATTAAAAATTGATAAGCATGCAGTTGGGATTGTTTAAAACTATTTTTGTTATAAACTGCGAAATAAATACAGTTGGGTTTGCTTAAGTAACTGATTATTAAATTGTTCGTGACCAATAAACAAACAGATAAATAACAAATGAATAAATTACAAAATTGTGTAACTCATATGTAAGTCATCCTATATGGATCATGGATCCGTGGTTACGTTTGTGACAAATGATAGTAAGACACGTTGGCATATTCAACAAAATCCATCCAATAAAAGTAGAGCACAAGGATCACGGTTTTCTATGAAAATTATCACTAGCACATAATATAATGGCCTAAACTATTTTATACAGATTTTTAATTCGTCCGATCCCTTAATTTTCCCTCTATTTATGTTTAGAATAAGAATATCACCTTAAATTAATTAAATACTACACTTTCGACCACATATTTTATTTCATTTGAACCCCACACGGCCCGGTCATCCATCCCTATATATACCCCAACATTCGCTCATACTGAATCATCATTCCTACTTTTTCAGAAAGTTTCCTTTTTTAACTAGTACGTAGTAATATTTCTTTTAGGTATATGTCATATAAGTATCTCTTATGCCTGAATATATGTCAGTTTTATATAACTCTAGCTTCTTCTTCTACGTAGTTGACTTTGGTGGCGTTTTGTAATCGGAAGAATGGCTCGTACAAAGCAAACTGCCCGGATGTAACACCCCCATTTTTATGAGCTGGTTATAGTAATCAATTTTTTTCGCTAGTTAAATAGGTTTCTCCTACGAATAATGTGATATATTATTTAACATGTTTTGTTGTGGCAGATAATGTTGACCGGTAAGCTCTAACAATTTTAAGTAAAGAAATAATTAAGGTTCCAAAGTTTAACTAGTTTTTCTTTTGTGTTGGGCCTGAGACATGTTGTATAGTACGTAAAGACCCAAATCAGTTAACTTGGTGAAATAAGTATTTTATTAAGAGCCTTGAGAAGTCAACAAGAGGTCTACGTAAGTATATATATCAACCCTAAGAAAATTCCCACAAACACTATTTTACTCCTCTCTGCAGCCGCTAACCCGTTTCTCACATCTACCGAAAACATTTTTTTCCTAAATTCATCATCAAAGAACTTCTCTCCGGGTTTCAAAGCCTTATTTCACTTCTGGTAAGTTCAATTCTTCCACTAAGCTTTATTTAGATAATCACATCCTTGATCAAGTATATTTAATTCTTTGCTCAGTAATCGTTTTCTCTATCTCTGTGAGTATAAATGTTCATAAATGAGTTTTCTACTTTATTTTATAATCAAGAGAGTTATTTTGGGAGTGATCAATAAGATTCTTTCAAATTCAATTTTATAAAATTTCTACATGCC